AGGAGCAGGACCAGTAGAGGGCGGGAGACCAAGAACCTGCTCAAGGAGCGGAACGAAGTACGGCCTCGGCCGCGCAGCGCCTCCAGAACCAGCAGGGACAGCACCAGTACCCCCAGCGGCAGCACCAGCGCCAGTAGCACCTCCAGCTCCAACAGCGCCAACTCCAGCACCCTCAGAAGCACCAGCGCCAGCAGAACCACCAGCGCCAACACCCCCAGCAGCTCCAGCAGCACCAACTCCAGCAGGACCGTCAGCTTCAGCACCGCCAGCAGCTCCAGCAGTGCCTCCAGCAGGACTCCCAGTCCCAGCAGCTCCAGAACCGCCAGGACGAGCACCTCCAGGACCAGCAGCAACAGTAGTACCTCCAGCTCCAGCAGCACGGCTCCAGCGCCGGGCAAACCACTCGCGCAGCTCCTGCATAGAGAGTAGCTCCCGCCTCGACGAAGCACCGCCAGAGGCCACACGAGCAGACCCAGCACCCCCAGGCTCCGCACCCCCAGGCTCAGCACCCCCAGGCTCCGCACCCCCAGACTCAGCACCCCCAGGCTCAGCACCCCCAGACTCAGCACCCCCAGGCTCAGCACCCCTAGACTCAGCACCCCCAGGCCCCGCACCCCCAGACCCGGCACCCGCAGGCTCAGCGCCCCTAGCAGCACCAGAGTCAACAGCTACCTTGACAGGCTCAACTGCGTCTACCTGGGACACACCTGACGGGGCAGGACCCTGAGGGGGGAGGGGGTCTACCGGGGGAGGACCTGGCGCAAGGAAGAGCGGCGGCGGGGGGAGGGGCGCAGTGCGGTAGGGGAAGAGACGGTAGTATGGCACCGACTCGTCAAAGGTGACGTCCTGGGAGGACAGAACACGGCGCGAGGTGGGGTGGTAAAACTGCCAACCAGGCGCGTCAGGGGGGAAGCCAAGGAAGACGCAGGGAACAGCACGGGGGGACAGCTTGTCCGCAGACAAGTCGCGGACAAACGCCCGAGATCCCCAGACCCGAAACGCAGACGCATCGCCAACCTTCCCCGTCCACCGCAAGGTGGGGGAGGTCTCTGGCAAGGAGACCCGGGGCTGAAGGTTGAGCTGATGCGCTGCGTACTGAACCGCAAACGGCCACAGAAAATGGGGAGCAGCCGCATGGATCATGGACGTACGAGTGACGTCCATGACCATGCCAATGCGGTTTGCTGAGGAGAGGCCGGAAGCGTGAAGGTCTGGCGGATGCCCTGTGCACGACAGAAGGCTCCCAGACGGGCAGAGGAAAACTCTCCGCCTCTGTCAGAGTGCAGACGCAGAACAGGAAAGTCCGAGCCGAAACTCTCTCTGAGCTGGAGACGAGCTGCGCGGATCCAGTCGATCAACACCTCAGTGACGTCACCCTTGCTGCGCAAGGGGAACACTGTGGTGTAACGCGAGTAGTCGTCAACCACCAACAGGAAGTTACGCTCGTGACCCTGGCCACGGACGCGGGCGGGGCCCCACATGTCCATGTGAAGAGTCTGCAAGGGAGCCTCTGTCGGAGGAAACTCGGAGGAGTGAGGGGCGGCGCGCTGCCGCCCCTCGACGCAGGGGACGCAGGTAGGGGCAGGCCCCGGAGGTAGGGGAGGGAGGGACCGGGGGAGGCCAGAGACAAGGACACGTGAGGCCATGCCTCGGAGACGAGGCAGGGAGGGGTGACCAAGGCGGTGGTGCCAAAGGAGAGTCTGGTGGGACAGGAGACGACACGAGCAGGGCGCAGACTCAGGACCAGACCTGGACGCTGCAGCAAACACCTGACTCGACGCAGCTACCTGACCAGACTCAGCAACAGGAGGAGACTCAGTGGTCAGTGTGTACAGGCTCGACCCCGGCTGACGGGTAAACGTGGCCAAGTGTCGGCCCGTCCGAGCACACGTACAGTGGGTCACCCGCTGACTCGCAGGCGTGAACTGGTCAACCCCCCGATCCTGTAGATCAGCTCCACTCACCAAGTTCGTAGAGAACGAGGGGAGGTAGAGACCTGACAGGGTGCCAGAGGGGGCTGCCGGACACGGTAAGACAGTGGAGAAGCTAGCAAGGACAGGACCCCCAGAAGGGTCCGCCAGGGAGACCGCAACCGGCCGACTAAGCGGCGTAAGCGTGGTGCGGTCTCAAAAGAAGGAGCGGGAAGCACCCGAGTCAAGGGTGAAGGTGTGCAAGGCCTGAGCCGACGTGGTACCTGAGAGAGCAGACTCACCAGCACCTGGGGCAGCAGACGCACTAGCACCTGGAGCAGCAGCCTCACCAGCACCTAGAGCAGCAGCCTCAATGCCCGGGTCAGGCGGAACGCACAGGTAACAGTCACCCTCATCACTAGTAGACACAGCATACATGGCAGCAAGAATAGCATCAAAGTCAAGATCAAAGATAGCAACCCCCCCCCCCTAGACAGCTCTCCCCAGCGAGGGATCTCAGTGGCGTAAGGGAACTGATGACGCCAAGCGTCCGTCAGGCGGCCGAAGCAGCGCTGGGTGGAGTGCGTGCCCCCGCACTGCTCACCAGCGCGGTCGCCTGTACGGAGGACGTAGGTGCAGGGACCAGTACCCCCACCCCGCTGACGCCCAGCGTACCACTCACGAAGCTGCTGAGGGGACAGGGTCTCACGACTGCGCTGCTGCTGCTGGCGCGGACCACCACCGGAGCCACTCCTCTGCGTAGAGCCGTGACCAGCTCCACCGCTGCCTCCGCCGCCTCCGCCACCTCCGCCGCCTCCGCCACCTCCGCCGCCTCCGCTCCCTCCGCCACCACCGCCGCCTCCTCCGCCTCCACTGCTGCCACCGACACCTCCACCCCCGCCACCACTCCCACCACCACCCCCACCCCCTCCACTGCCTCCACCACCACCTCCACCGCCCCCGCCAGCCCCTCCAACGCCCTTACCCCCCTTGCCCTTGCCGGTGCGGCGTCTCCCGCTAGGGGCAGACGCAGCGCCGACCGACTCGAAGCCAACGAGGTCGGCCGCAGCAGCAGAAGCAATAGAGGGCAAGAGTGGGGAGGGAGAACACCCCTCAAAGACGGGGGTGCGAGGGTCACCACGAGAGGCTCCTACAGCAACTATGCTCTTCTCTGCTGCTAGGAGGCGCTCCTCGAGGAGGTCAACGGTGAGTGTGGTGGGGCAAACTGAGAGGAAGTGGTCCCTGACTAAGCGAAGGGAGTCAGGGAGCCGGGTGACTATGTAGTAGAGGGTGATGTACATGGGGGGGGGGGTTCTTGGCACAGAACTCAGCAGGAAGCGCAGCGCGGTAGCGAGTGTCACTAGTGCGAAGGTGCGTAATGAGGTCAGCGACCGTGGGAAAGGCAGCAAGGTCAGGGAACAGGTACGGTAGCATGAGGCGGCTAAGCGCAGCAGTGGCAGGGGAAGAGTAGCGTGCAACTACAGCGTCGTACAAGGTCTTAGCACTCTTGTACTGGCTAAAGTGCGCACGCTCAGTGGTCGGTAAGTGGCGACGCACAGCAAGACGTGCAGCAGCATCGCGCGTGGCCCACTGTGAGCGAACAGTGCTGTCAGCAGTAGCAGGCGGGGCAGGAGAGACACCAGAGGTGAGATCGAACAGGGAGAGTCCGTCTGCCCTATCGCACTGTAAGAACAGCTGGAGGTCATTGACCCAGACCTCAAAGTCAACAGCACGACCCTCAGTATCAAAGGTAAGGACACTGGGGGTAGCCATGACTGCAGTGGCCTAGCAGGGAGTGAGCTCACCAGTCCAAGGGAGTAGGGCCGGGGCGCGCCGGTAGGAACAGTAGTGGCTCGACGGCAGGGCGGCTCGGCGGCTCAGCTGCTGGGCGGCACGGCGGCTCGGCAGCTCGGCGGCTCGGTGGCTCGGCGGCTCGGCTGTTGGGCGGCTCGGCTGCTGGGCGGCTCGGCGGCTCGGTCGCTGGGCGGCGCGGCGGCTCGGCGGCTCGGCTGCTGGGCGGCTCGGCGGCTCGGCTGTCGGGCGCCTCGGCTGCTGGGCGGCTGGCGGCGTGGTGGCTCGGCTGCTCAGCTGCTGGGCGGCTCAGCGGTGAAGGGGCCGGTAGAGGCGGCGACGGGGCCGCGAAGAGCGGCGACGGGGCCGCTAGGGGCGGCGACGGGGCCACTAGGGGCGGCGACGGGCCCGCTAGGGTCGGCGACGGGGCCGTTAGGGTCGGCGACGGGGCCGCTTAGGGCGGCGAGGTGGCCGCGATGGGCGGCGACGGGGCCTCCAGGGGCGGCGAAGGGGCCGCTAGGGTCGGCGATGGGGTCGCAGAGGGGCCGTAAGGGGCCTAGAGGGGGCGGCGACGGGGCCGCAAGGGTCGGCGACGGGGCCGCGAAGGGGCCGCGAGGGGCCTGGAGGGGCGGCGACGGGGCCTAGAGAGGCGGTGACGGGGCCGCGAAGGGGCCGCGAGGGGCCTGGAGGGGCAGCGACGGGGCCGCGAAGGGGCCGCGAGGGGCCTAGAGGGGCGGCGACGAGGCCGCTAGAGGCGGCAACGGGGCCGCAAAGGGGCCGCGACGGGCCTAGAGGGGCGGTGACGGGGCCTAGAGCAGCGACGACGGGGCCGTAAGAGGGGCCGTGAGGGGCCGTGAGGGGCCGCGAAAGGGGCCGCGAGGGGCCTGAGGAGGGCGCGACGGGCCGCTAAGGGCTAGGGGCGCGACGGGAGGGAGGGCACACGGGGCGCGACTCGGGCAGGAGGGAAGCGCGCTCCGGGCAGGAAAAAAAAAAATTCAGTGGTGGGCCCTAGGAAACGTTCCCACTAGGGAACCTGCTCTATACCATGTGAAAGAACAAGGAATGATTGCATTGAGCAGCATGAGGAGTACAAGTAGGAAACCCTAAAGTGTTGTACCCCATATGAGCTACCCCACTACAGCCTACACAGACTATAGCATATAAGTTTGACACTGCGGTGAGGTAGGAGGGCGTACCTGGTCGCGGGGCTTCTAGACTCACCTGTGGGGGAGAGAGGGTGGGGTGTGGAAGAAAGAGGTGTGTGTCCGAGGGGTAAGTACAGGGCTTCTAGACTCGACTATGGATGGCGCTTCGGGTATGGAAGGGGTGAGCACAAGCGGCCTCACCCACCCCAGGTCTTACCGTCCATACTTCTTTACCCGCCCTTACCAACCCCACGACTTGCCTCCTCTAGCAGCTCTGTAAGAAAACTTCTTGAACGTTCGCTTGCTCGCTCTGTCATTGCCACGTATAAACCAAACTCTCATCCACTTCCTACACGTGAAAGAAGATTGGCTTTGACACGTCTCAGAACCAATCTTAATTCATCTGTCAAAATCACGTACAAACCAAACTCTCATGCACTTCCCACCCGACAAATGTGTTATTTTGAGAATACTAAAAAAAACCCTTGAGAATTCTCACAAAAACCCTACCAACCTTAGTCTCATCCACTTCCTATCCGACCCATGTGTTATCCCCTTCCTTCCCGCTCCCCTCCCTCCCTCTATCCTACCCACTCCATGCCCTACCTCCTCCAGCTGCCCTAGCATCTCCACTTGCAATTGCACTGTTCCCATTGATGGTAAGCAGTTTCTCTTTTTCGGCGCCCAACCGCACTATCTTTTTCGCCTGACCTGCCATTGCCACTGCCACTGCCACTGGTGCTTCTCCATTTAACCAACATTTCATCACCATCCCTCCACACCATCCCTGCACCATTTCGCAGGTGTGGCTCGGGTGTTCCTGGGGGGTGACTTTGTGACTGGACTAAAACGGAGGAGAGCTCCTGGGATCTCCTCATGCCAGAGATTTTTGCTGCCCTGATGGACTTTTTTGCTTCCGGGCAGCCGGTGCTGAACCCCCAGGCAGAGGCAGCAGCAGCTAGTGGGGAGCAACAACCGGCAGAGGTGGGGTGGGGGGAGTGATAGGAGTAGAGAAGGTGAGGTGAGACAGAGGTGGGGTGGGAAATTGCAGGAGTAGAGAGGTGAGTTGGATAGGTGCGGTGCTGAACCCCCAGGCACAGGTAGCAGCAGCTGCAGAGGTGGGGTGGGGATCAACAACCCGCAGAGGTGGGGTGGGGAGCAACAACCCACAGAGGTGGGGTGGGGAGCAATAACCCGCAGAGGTGGGGTGGGGAGCAATAACCCGCAGAGGTGGGGTGGGGAGCAACAAACCGCAGAGGTGGGGTGGGGAGCAACAACCCGCAGAGGTGGGGTGGGGAGCAACAGCCCGCAGAGGTGGGGTGGGGAGCAACAACCCACAGAGGTGGGGTGGGGTGAGTGATGAAGTGGGGAGAGGGGTTGGGGAATGAGGGGCAGAGATGGGGTGGAGGAATGAAGGGCAAAGGTGGGGTGGGGGGAATGGCTTATCAGTACAGGCGCAGTGGGGGAAAGTGGTGTGATGAGGTGAGGTGCGGTGGCAATGGGTAGGAGTAGAGGTGGGGTGGTGTGCATCAACCTGAAACGGTGCTGAGGTTACTAGAGCTGAAATTCGTTCTTTCTTTACTCGGCTCCTCCCCCCTTGTCTTTCTTCAGATCGAGAGTGAGATGGTGCTGATGATGATACAGTAGTCGTGGGCTGAACTCACACCTCCCCCTGCTGTTTCCCCCGCCCCCATTGACCACCCCTCTCAGGAGGAGAGTGAGACGGTGTTGATGATACGCGAGTTGCTGGAGACTCGCTTTCAACCCGCTCCCAGCCAATCTCCCCGTGTCTTCTCCCCCCTTCGCCAACCCCTCCCAAACGCTGCTTCCCCTTCAGGAGGAGAGTGAGACGGTGGTAATGATAAGGGAGCTGCTGGAGAATGCTTCGTAGCTTCTCTCCTCTGGTTGCCCTTTCTTTTCCCATTTGAATGTGCGCATTTTCCCTCCCGCCTTTGCCACCCCTCTCAGGATGAGAGTGAGACTGTGCTGATGATAAGGGAGCTGCTGGAGACGCGCATTCGACCGGCAGTGCAGGAGGACGGAGGGGACATTGACTTTGTTGACTTTGACGAGTGAGTCTGACTTGGTTGACTTTGACCAGTGGGTCTGACTTTGTTGACTTTGACGAGTGAGTCTGACTTGGTTGACTTTGACTAGTGGGTCTGACTTGGTTGACTTTGACGAGTGAGTCTGACTTGGATTCACATTGTTGACTTTTGAGATGTCTTAAAAGGTCGACCGGCATTGCAGGAGGACAGAGGGGACAATGACTTTGTTGAGCGCTTCACGTCACCCGCTTGCCATGTCAAACACTTGCCACGTCACCCTCTTGCCACATCATCACCTTGCCACGTCACCCTCTTGCAGTGCCTGCCCAGGCCTTTTTCTTATGCCTCACCAAGCATGATCGCACGCCCGTGTCACCTTGCGTACCATCCACGCCACGGGAATCGTGCATCTGTGCATGAAAGGCGCTTGCAGGGGCTGTTCAAGCCATGGCACCCTTCTTAATCCAGCTCTGATTGTTGTGCCCTCCCTCTCCTCACTGCCACCCACCCCTGCAGGGCCACGGGAATCGTGTACCTGCGCATGAAAGGGCGCCTGCAGTGGCTTCCCCTGCCCTGTGCGTCGCCCTTCATATAACCCCTCACATCCTGTTGTGTGTTACGCTCTCCCCTCCCCTCACTGCCACGGACCCACCAGGGCCACGGAAATCGTGTATCTGCGCATGAAGGGTGCCTGCAGTGGCTGCCCGAGCCTTGTGTGCGGTTTCATTTAAGCCTGTGTGGTTTGCTCTCCCCACCCCCCACTTGCTTGCCAACCATCCACCCCCCAGGGCCACGGGAATCGTGTATCTGCGCATGACAGGCGCCTGCAGTGGCTGCCCGAGCTCCTCTGTGATTCTAAAGAGCGGCGTGGAGAGCATGCTCACACACTACATTCCAGAGGTGAGCTTTGTGGATGTGATTGTAGCGAATAATGGTGGACCATGTTTTTCCCCATCTGTAACAATAAATAGTGGAGTGGAGAACGGATGTGATAACAGTGAATGAAATGAAGGCATACCATTTCTCATCCTCTCCCCATTTGTGACTCTAGAGAGCGGGTTGGGAATGATACTCGTGGACTGTGCTTCAGAGTCGAATGTGGTGTTGAATAGGGGCATAATTGTAATGAATGCTGAGTGTTTGTCGTGTATAATAACGTTCATGCATTACACTTTGCCTGCTTCTCTCACATCAGCTCACTGCCTGGTCCGCCCATCTCTGCTCTTGTTTGCCCTGGCCTGCCCGTGTCTGCCCTTGTCTCTGCCCGTGTCTGCCCGTGTCTGCCTGTGTGTCCGGATGCAGGTTAATTCGGTGAAGGAGGTCATTGAAGAGGCAGAGTGACTGTAGCCGGTGCCTGTACTCGTTATTAGACGTTTTAGAACAAACTTAGTTATGACGAGCATAGGCTAGAGGAAGAAAGAAGTCGGTCGTCGCTCTGGACCTTTTTGTAACATTGCCGTCACCGTTGCCTGCGGAGCTAGGACTTTCCCATCAAGGGAAAATCAGCCATCTCCAACGAACACATACCCACCCAACCAACAATTGCTGAACTTCCCCCGAATAATGTGACAATGGAGCAGCAGCAACAACCGGCTGGTTTGAAAATATCAGGACAAAATTGGAGCTGGCCGATAAAGCCAGTGCTAAGCTATTTAGGTATGGGACATTTTGTTGCCTCGTCTCTACTGTAGTAGCCTTGTTGGTAAAGAAATCTGAAACATTGGAATTGAACCACAAATTGCACTACATGACAGCCCACCACCACATGCAATACATCATCAACCCTGAGATGCGAAGAAAGCACAAGCAAAGCAGAAACGTCAATTTTCTTTCCTAACCCCTTCTACGTATCCTTGCAGCCCATCTCTTGCCTTCTATTTCCTACCCACCACACCTCCCTCACAAAGGTTTTTTCAAAGAGAAACAAGCACACAGACACACACACGCGGAACCACTGCCACAAGCTCGCCACATCACAAGCAACGGGCCTTCTAGAGCCCCCCCTTCCCCATGCATTAGACCGGGTCATTCGGTTGCCATTCGCCGCATCTCCCTGTGTAGAAGGACCAAGCCACCCTGCCGCCCTGCAACCCTCCATTGCACGTCTGCTGGCTGCTTTTCGAATCAAATGCTGGGTGCAGCACTGCTGGCAGCACTGCTCGCAGCACTGCTGGCAGCGGTGGGCTTGGGGGCTGTGCCCGAGGTGCCCTTTGCTCCCAGCGCATGCGCGCCGGAGTTGAGCTTACCTCCCGCCTGATTCTTCGAAACCGCCTTCCCGCCAGCAGCGCCGGGAGCGGCGGCCGTCTTCAGGGCTGCTGCGCCCGAGTTGCGCTTACGAGCTCCCGCGGGGCCAGTTTTCTTCCCGCCTCGGCGCCCAGCTTTCTTCCCTCCGCGGCGGTGGTGCTTCTTCTTGCCCTTCTTGGGCGGGACTCCGACCATGGAGCCGATCGAGTTGCGCACGTTCCTCCCCGCCTGCCCGACAGCTTTCTTCACGCTGCCGCTGAGGTCGTCCGACGTCTGCTTCAAGTCCGCCGCTGCATCCCCCATCGAGAGAAGCACCCGCGAGTCCTCCAAGTCAACGGAGTCGAAGTCAACCGAGTCAACGGAGTCAATCACGGCATCACTGTCGGCCGCCTCGAGGAGCGCGCGCGGCTCGTTTGCAGCAGCGGGAGCAGCGGGGGACTCGGGTGCTGCGCCCGAGGTGTCCTTAGCTCCCGCCTCCTGCTTCTTAGGAGCCCCCGTCGCGCCAGCAGCGGCAGCAGCGGGCTTCTTGGGGGTTGCGCCGGAGTTGAGCTTACCTCCCGCCCCCTGCTTCTTCGGAACCCCCGCAGCGGACGTCTTGGGGGCTGCCGCGCCCGATTTGCGCTTACGAGCTCCCGCCAGCCCAGTTTTCTTTCCGCCGCGGCGCCCAGTTTTCTTTCCGCCGCGGCGCCCAGTTTTCTTCCCGCCGCGGCGGTGGTGCTTCTTCGTGCCCTTGTTGGGCGGGACTCCGACCATGGAGCCGATCGAGTTGCGCACGTTCCTCCCCGCCTGCCCGAGAGCTTTCTTCACGCTGCCGCTGAGGTCGTCCGACGTCTGCTTCAAGTCCGCCGCTGCATCCGCCACCGAGAGAAGCACCCGCGGGTCCTCCAAGTCAACCGAGTCAACGGAGTCAAGCGAGGCATCGCTTTCGGCCTCCAGGAGCGCGCGCTGGTCGTATGCTTCTTCCAGCGCCGGCTCACTCGCGCCGTAGTACCCATCCGGCGGAGGCTGCGCCGCGAAAACCGCGAGGAAGTTTAGAGACGCCACGAGGACGAGCGCGAGCAGAAAGCGATGACGAAGCGCGCCCATGATAGAGTTCGATATGGCAGTCTTCTGAGATGGGAAAGAACCGCTGAGGGGGTTGGTACTGAATTTGTTTAGCTGCTGTTACTAGCGGTGAATGAGTTGTTTCCAACTTCCTCCGCGTTAAATACGCTAGCGTGAGTGCCGAGTGCAGACTTTGCTGGAATATTGCGGCTCGACATCAGAGGAGGCGTTTCAGCCCCATGATGCCTCTCGTAGCGCCTCGTTCGATTGCTGGACCTCATGGTACCGACGAATGCGGCGCTTATCGCTATCGCTGGGGAACTGGCCACCACGTTTGCTAATGCTCTGGTGTTTGTGACGCACATCGAAATTATGAAACATGTGATAGTGCTGGTTGGTTTCCTGGCGCGGTTGGGTTCTGTGAGAGGGGTATTGAAAACCAGCGGGTAAGAGAAGTTTTCCAGCGGTCAGGAGTGGTGCAAGGTTTTTGTTGTGGGGATCGAATGTAAGTGGGGCGATCATAATGTACAAGTAACGCGGGATGTGCGGCCGAGCAATAATTGCACACCTAGTGCGAAAACCTTCGCACTCACCACACATTGTGGTTCGCGTTTGCGATTCATGCACATTTCAACTGTAATGTTTTCAGGATATATAATCATTGCTTTTTCTCTCCATAACCATTTGTTGTCAATTTACGCACAGAAAATGGATGTTAACATGTATTTGGGATGCTAACATGTGTAAATATATATAAAAGAAAATGGACAAAATATATTGAGCCCGTTTGCTGTAGGCCCTTTATTGAAATCACTGAATCACTGAAGCTCGGTTGCTGGACTAGCTTTGCCATCTTCAGGTGCTGGAGTGACAACAAGCATGGCCGCAGCAGCAGTTCCTTCACATGGAAGCTCTTTCAAGTCGAGACAGCTGTTAAAATCAGATCAAATCAAATCATTAACTGTTCTGTACACAGCGAATCAACACAACTGTTTTGAGACACCTCCAAATAAGAAATTAGACACAGCAAAGCAGCAGTGATTCACACAGATTCCCCAAACAGCACAACACGCGTATCAATATTCTAGCTGATCATAAATCACTACATGACAAACTTGAGGCAGCGGGTTTCGTTGTGCAGTCTTTGGCAGCTGATGCAGCAGAAGCGGGCGGCACAGCGGGGGCATGTGTAGGGCGCGTGGCTGCCACACGCAGAGCAGAAGCGGCGCACTGAGGCGGCTGTTGGAGGGCCCACTGCTGCTGTGAGGTAGGAGGGCGTGCCTGGTGGCAGGGTCTCTAGATTCGCCTGTGGGGAGTGAGGAGGGGGCATGGAAGCGAGGGAGAAGCATGGCAGGGGTGAGCACACAAACAATACACAGAGGCAGCAGCCGGGCTCCACTGCTGCTGTGAGGTAAGGAGGGCGTGCCTGGTGGCAGGGCTTCTAGACTCGCCGATGGGGAGAGAGGGTGGTGGGGTGTGGAAGAAAGAGGTGTGTGTCCGAGGGGTAAGTACAGGGCTGCTAGACTCGACTATGGATGACGCTTGGGGTATGGAAGGGGTGAGCACAAGCAGCCTCACCTGCCCCAGGTCTTACCCGCCCCAGGTCTTACCCACCATACTTCTTTACCCGCCCTTACCAACCCCACAACTTGCCTCCTCTAGCAGCTCTGCAAGAAAACGTCTTCAACGTTCGCTTGCTCGCTCTGTCATTGCCACGTATAAACCCAACTCTCATCCACT